CTGATGTGTAAAATATTAAATAATATAATAATATTTTTTTAGTTTTACAATGTCACCTCCACTGACCATAAAGGTTCCTGAAAAGGCCTTGAAAAAGGCCCATGGACCACTAGTTGATATCACATTGTAGCTTGTTTTGCAGCTCCGAACACATTTTATTAGTGAGACAAGGACTAAAGCAAGTGGAGAAAATATTCTACTAGATTGAGTGAAACCAGCTGACATGACTTGATTAAGTAATTTCAACACTTCAGTTTTTTTAGAGTCCACAAACAACTCCTTTTATGATAAGTTTGGACTTATTTAATTTTGTAATGAGTAACTAGGTGTTAAATTTTAAAGTAAAGAAGTAAAGGTTTTAAATGTAACAAAATAAAAATAACAATATAAAAAATGCTTGGTAAAATTACAAATCCTCAAAAAAATTACTTAAGTACTGTAACTAAGTAAATGTACTTAGTTACTATAAACCTCTGCTCATAACATAATGTGAAATTACATTATTTCCAAAGTTTGATCAAAATGAAACTCAAAGTGTTCTTAGTTTAAAATAGGAAGTGTTAAAAGTTTTAATTGATTTAATTGATTAATTCTACAGGTTAGCTTCAGCTCAGATTTGAGACGTTTTCCTGACCAAGGCTGTTAGCAAGCAGTTCTGAATATTTTAAAACATTTTTTAACTTTCCACAGAACTTCAGCAACAACTTCCAGACGGCTAAAGAAGCTCTGAGCGCCGCGACGGCTCAGGCGGCGGAGAAGGCGGCGTCCAGTGTTCGAGACTTTGCCCAGAAAAGTTTCCGTCTGGCCATGGACGTCAGGCTGAAGGCTCCGCTCATCGTCGTCCCTCAGTCCTCCACCTCCCACGATGCACTTGTGATCGACCTGGGTCTGATCACGGTGGGGAACGGCTTCTCCGTGGTGCCCATTGCGGGATGCCCGCTGCCGGCCGTCATGGACAGCATGGATATGCAGCTGACGGAGCTGAAGCTGTCCAGGTCTGTCAAACCAGATTGATTTGTAAAAGATGATTTTTCAGTTTAATGAAATAAAAACACATGATGGTTTTTTTTTGTGTGTGTGTTTGTTAATCATTGATGTAAATTTGTGTTTCCCGTTCTAAAGGACGTGTTTAGACCCAGACTTGTGTCGACCCAGCATCGAGCTGCTGGAACCAGTCAACCTGAACCTCAACATCAAGAGGAACCTGTCAGCTGGTTGGTACAAGAACATGGCTGCTGTGGAGGTCAATGGAGACCTGAAGCCCATGAAGGTACAAGAAACAAGAGGAGCGGTTAACCATTAAAGACACAGGAATTTATTTGTCTCTCTCTATATAAAGTGGCCAAAAAAACCTAACTGTAGAAAATTATAATTAGGAGACTTCTCTAATGAAATAATTAGGGTTATTCAGCGTAATAAAGCTGACCATTCTCTCAATCAGAAGTGAGTTGTCCAGCTGTGATAGTAGCATGGAGGCATTGCTCCAGGTGAAGGAGTTGAGCTGAAAGCCAAAGCTGTGGAGTTACTGGTCCATCTATGTTTCAACCTTCAACTGCCCTCATGAGGTATGGATCATGCCTCAAAGAGATCCTGGATTCAGGATCTGAAATGAGCTTCCTCTGTAATTCTTAGGGTTGATGATACATCATTAGACGTATCCATATAATGATGTATCCATCTAATGATGGATGGATGGATGGATGGATGGATGGATGGATGGATGGATGGATCTAATGATGGATGGACCTAATGATGGATGGATTGATGGATGGATGGATGGATGGATGGATGGATGGATGGATGGATGGATGGATGGATGGATGGAGCTAATGATGGATGGATGGATGGATGGATGGACCTAATGATGGATGGATTGATGGATGGATGGATGGATGGATGGATGGAGCTAATGATGGATGGATGTATGGAGCTAATGATGGATGGATGAATGGATGGATGATGGAGCTAATGATGGATGGAGCTAATGATGGATGGATGGATGGATGGAGCTAATGATGGATGGATGGATGGATGGATGATGGATGGATAGAGCTAATGATGGATGGATGGATGGATGGATGGATGGATGGATGGAGCTAATGATGGATGGATGGATGGATGGAGCTAATGATGGATGGATGGATGGAGCTAATGATGGATGGATGGATGGATGGATAGATGATGGATGGATGGAGCTAATGATGGATGGATGATGGATGGATGGATGGAGCTAATGATGGATGGATGGATGGATGGATGGAGCTAATGATGGATGGAGCTAATGATGGATGGATGGATGAATGGAGCTAATGATGGATGGATGGATGGATGGATGGATAGATGATGGATGGATGGAGCTAATGATGGATGGATGATGGATGGATGGATGGAGCTAATGATGGATGGATGGATGGATGGAGCTAATGATGGATGGATGGATGGAGCTAATGATGGATGGATGGATGGATGGATGGATGGATGGATGGATGGATGGATGGATGGATGGATGGAGCTAATGATGGATGGATGGATGGAGCTAATGATGGATGGATGGATGGATGGATGGAGCTAATGATGGATGGAGCTAATGATGGATGGATGGATGAATGGAGCTAATGATGGATGGACGGATGGATGGAGCTAATGATGGATGTATAGAACTATGGATAAATGATGGATAAATCTCTTTAAATCTAAAGTTTTCAGATGTTTATGAACTTTTTTAGATCAGTTAAATCAGAATCCTCACCTGTTCAATCGTATGTTTGTAACAATAAAACATGTCTGCTCTTGTCCCGACTGCTTCCCTTCATCTGTGTGGCTAACAGTTCTGCTCCTGTTTTCTTTAAACCAGGGGACTTATAAAGCCCCAAAGGTACGGCTGTCTCTCCTGTACAGTTCTAGTGTTAGCGTGTTGGAGACTGGATCAGGTCTGTCTGTAGTGAACCAGATGTTAGATAGTGGTCTTTGATCTAGGGTAGCGTGTCTGTACTGACAGAGAAGGGATAAAACTCTGGTTCTGGTCTCTGCCGTCTGTAATTCTTGCTGTTTGTGCAGCTGGAGCTCAGTCAGGACGACCTCAGAGTCCTGCTCAGGATCTTGATGGAGAACCTTAAAGAGGCTGGAGGTCCAGATCCCAACGCCCCCAGACAAGAGACCAGCCTGCACGTCCCATCCACCAGAAGCCCCCCAACAGGTCTGGTTTTTGATTCTCACCTGTGCAGCCATGTGCAGGTTTCTCTCTCTAATGTTACCTGGGTCTACCTGTTCAGGTGAGTCTGAGAAGCCAGCTGAGAGCAGCGGTGAGTCTGTGGAGACGGTGAAGTTTAACTTCAACATAGAGTCATTGGGTCTGGTTCTGTACCACAAGAACCCCGAACAGGTCAGTCAGAAACTAGAGGCTTGAACATGAGACTCGGATGGTTCTGGTCCAGTTGGTCTCATTGTTTCCGTCCCCAGCAGCCAACGGACCTCCAGCACCAGCAGGACCTTAAACTCGGGGAGTTCGCCCTCCGCCTGCTGAGAACCTCTGGGAAGATAATGAACGACGGCAGCATGGAGGTGAATACGGTCCTGACCACGTGCACGCTGGACGACCTGCGGACCGGCATGGACCGGGTCACCTCACGGTAACGACCTATGACTGAACACTGATCTAAACACTGAAGAGGTAACGTTTAACTAACCACCTCTGTGAAAACATGTCCCCGCCCCCAGCAAAGTTACAAAGTGCCAACAAAGTGGGCGGTGCCAGGAGTCACTGAGGGACATGGCCAGGAGGCGTGGTCAGGAGAGGGAGGAGGCGCGGTCAGAATGAGAGAGAAGGCGGGGTCAGAATGAGAGCAGGCAGAGTCAGGACGAGAGAGAAGGCGGAGTCAGGACGAGAGAAGGCGGGGTCAGGACGAGAGAAGGCGGGGTCAGGACGAGAGAAGGCGCTGTCAGGACGAAAGAAGGCGGGGTCAGGACGAGAGAGAAGGCGGGGTCAGGACGAGAGAGAAAGCAGGGTCAGGACGAGAGAGAAGGCGGGGTCAGGACGAGAGAGAAAGCAGGGTCAGGACGAGAGAGAAGGCGGGGTCAGGACGAGAGGAGGCGCGGTCAGGACGAGAGGAGGCGCGGTCAGAACGAGAAGGCGGGGTCAGGACGAGAGAAGGCGGGATCAGGACGAGAGAAGGCGGGTTCAGGACGAGAGAGGAGGCGGGGTCAGGACGAGAGGAGGCGCGGTCAGAACTAGAGAGAAGGCGGGGTCAGGATGAGAGAGAAGGCGGGGTCAGCACAAGAGAGAAGGCGGGGTCAGCACGAGAGGAGGCGCGGTCAGAACTAGAGAGAAGGTGGGGTCAGGATGAGAGAGAAGGCGGGGTCAGGACGAGAGAGGAGGCGTGGTCAGGACGAGAGGAGGCGTGGTCAAAACTAGAGGGAAGGTGGGGTCAGGATGAGAGAGAAAGCAGGGTCAGGATGAGAGAAGGCGGGGTCAGCACGAGAGGAGGCGGGGTCAGCACGAGAGGAGGCGGGGTCAGGACGAGAGGAGGCGCGGTCAGAACTAGAGAGAAGGCGGGGTCAGCACAAGAGGAGGCGCGGTCAGAACTGGAGAGAAGGTGGGGTCAGGATGAGAGAGGAGGCGTGGTCAGGACAAGAGAAGGCGTGGTCAGGACCCATACCACACTTATCATGAGTTTTATGTCACTGAGCTTTGGGGACTGGGCAGACGTGTTTAAAGAAGTAAAAAAGATTCAGTCCTGACTCTAAAGCTCATCTTCTGTTAGACACACAGACATCAGATGTTCTAATTTTAACATAAAACACAAAAATGGACATTTTAATCCATCGTCATGTGATCATGTGAAACCTCAGCAGTCAGGAAGCTGCTGCGCCTTTTGATTCTGTTGTGTGACGTCCTGCAGCATGGTGGGACAGAAAGGAGAGGACAGCTCGCAGCCCATGATCGATGTGACGTACCGGCAGAGCGCCGCGGACCGGGACATGGTGGCGGTCCTGCAGAAACTCTACCTGTGTGCCAGCGTGGAGTTCCTGATGGCCGTCACAGATTTCTTCCTGCAGGCTCTGCCTCAGAGTCCGGCTGCGACCGCGCCGGCTGCGACCGGCGAGAAGCTGCCGCTGAGACAGACGACTGAGCCAAGACCGGACTCAAAGACTGGTGAGACCAGGACACCAAGTCCAGGACCTGATGAGAAACAAAGGCTCCTCCCAATTACAATATTTATTTAAAAGAAGAAGAAAAAATTAATAAGTCCAAAATCTCAAAACTCCAGAATACATTATTAATATTTATAACAGATTTCTTGAACAGATCAGAGGAAGAGGACCTCAGTTTAGCTTGTTTGTCGCGTTAGCACCGAGCTAATACATATAAGACAATATAGCATCAGTGCTAGCACAAAGGCTAACAGGCTAACTGAGGTTGTTCTTCCATGAAGCAGCTCTGTTGTCCTCCATCCATATTTTCAGTTCCAGGCTGAGTCATTTCTACCTTCTCCTCTCTGTCAACGCTCTCTGGTTT